GTGTTAATCTATTTTAAGTAGTGCTGTGTTAATCTGTTTTAAGGAGTGTGGTAAATATAATTTTTAGGCTATAGCATAATATTAAAATAGAAACTATGTTATGTAAGATACTTTTTGTAACTAGCTCAAGGAATGGAAGAGATAATCAAGGAATTCTTTGGATTCTCCTATTTGGGTAGGGATAACAGCAACAGACACAGAGATCCCAAGAGAAGAATTATTGTCTCCTTATCAGGAAAGCTCAGACTCTGAGGAACCAAGAAGGTTGATTTACAAGATGGTGGGGGGGAGCTGAAATTAAGCAGAAACACCCTAGTTTGAAAGGAATGTTTGAATCATGTATGAGATATATGAATATGCAGTAGGCCATTACTTTTAAGGAGTTATTCTTTGATAGCAAGGGGTTCTTTTTGGCGGAGTGCCAGGCACCCAGACATCCGTAATTTTTTGCTTTTTATTGTCTCTTATTGTCCTAGTTTTTATTACTATTTTCAATACTATTAAGCTTCTAAAATTTTAACAAAAGTGAATGGTGTTTTTCACACCAGGAATCATGCCAGGAGCAGCTGGAGCAGCACAGTATGTCCAAGCTGTGGGCCTGAGAAAAAGAAAGTTGGATTATCCCAGTACTTGTTACTAATGTGGCTGGATGATCACCCTTATGACTGTGTGTGGAGGCTGGGGAGGCAGAGTGAGCAACCACCACAGCAACCCAAGGATCTGCCGGCACAAGGCAAGAGCAGCCCGCAACTATAAATGCCTGAGGAGGAGTGATCACAGACACTATCAGTGCACGTGGGGCGCGACACACAAATGTAACTTCCCCTTTCAGAACAGTGAGTTGGTCATAATGCTAAATGGTGGTATCTTCCTCTGTGTTTTTATTAGTGTTTTGTGATTCACACAAAATATATATTCTGGCTGGTAGCAGTTATTGATTTCTAAAAAAATTATCCATGTATTTAAGTATTCAGATTTGGTTAGATTCTGGTCAAATGAAACTTGCTGGACTTGAAAGAAAGACTTGGTTTTTTGAGAATGATAGTTTAATAAACTGGTTCGTTAGCAGTTTTTCCACTCCAGTGTTAATTTAGAATGGATTAAGATCTGCATTGTCTACTAAGGAAATGCATAAATGACCCCTTTCTGAGGGAGTTAATTTTTGTAAGGTAAGCACAGAAGTGGGGCATTGCACAGGTTTGCACTGAACTCCCCAGTGTTGCATCTGCATGCTCTTCATTGCCCCTTTTTAGCACAATGCCATGAAATGCCACTTACAAATGTTATTTTTTCTAAGCCCCTTGCCTCTGGATGCAGTGCAACATTTCCTTCCTACTCAGCATTTCATTACATGACATCTCAGATTTTCAATCACAACTAATTCCTTCACCTTAGAAACAAGTGACATGGACATTTAACTTAGGTGATGCTGGGGAAACAGTGTGCTGGGAGGAAAGGAGACTGCAGTGTACCCCAGCATATTTCACATTTCAGACACTCAGGTAACCAGCAGGGAGTCCGGTGCTGACTGGGGGGCACTGGTCAGCCTTACTGGACTTCATGAGTGACAGATGGAAGAAGGGAAGACTGATATCCCCCAGTCACCAGATAAGGTCAACATAAAGGTTCTTATTAAAGCAGCAGGAAGAGCTGAGCTGGTTGTAAATCAGAAATTCAACTCCTGCAGTTAAGTCTAATAGACTAAAATCAGTTTCTATGACCATATATAAAGCTGAAAAACATGGTGGCATTTTCTGGACTGCTGACTCCTTTGGGATGCTGATGTGGGAACACCAGAGGAACTTCCTGAACCTACAGGTAAATTTAGAGCAGCAAGAAGAGGACAGTTTTATATTTGTCACCTCTGTAGCAGACTTCTTCAGGATTGGCAGATTGCAATAACTGTTAATTATCTGTTAATTTTGACAGTGAATGTTTTCCTTAAAAAAAAAAAAAATCACAGATGACAAGTCCATGCAGGACAGCATAAATATTCTCTAAGTGCACCTGCCTACCACCTTGGCCCAAAGTGGAGATTTCCCCAAATCAAAGCACATAGCTTTGATACATACCTGTTGTGTAAATGAGCTGAGCATAACTATCAGTGCCAAAGGTACAAATCTTATGTGGTGGGCAATAAACCACACAGCAGTAATGCATTCTAATTAAGAGCAGAGTACGTCATCTCTTTCTTCCATCTCTGCAGATCATTCTGCTCATATCACAGTAATAAGTACTGTTACTATGAAGCTTTCTGGGCACAATTTGGGGTGTCAGAACAAGAAGAAATTATTACAATGCTAATGGTCTCTGTGCTGTTCACACAGCAAAACTCTCAAAAAAATATCCTTGTGCATGACCTGTAGCCCATGGATTTGATACTTTGGAAGGAAAAGACAGAACCCTCCCCCCCACTCTGTCCTTTTATTTGAAATTAGTTTTCAGAAAGAAATAAAGAGAAATTTTCTTAATAAGTTGCCAAAAAGAAAAAAAATATTGGAAACACCAGAATGGAACACAGAGATTATATGAGTCTAGTTCATGTAGCATCAAAGCTCTACTTAGGAAAACCTGAAAATGAGAAGTTTGCATTATGTGATGAAAAAGTTTGGCCAAATAGAGTTCTCTCACTATCAAGACCAGAGCTGCTTCAGGAATCTTCCTGGTAGTGGTGAACTACAGGAGGAGTCAGTCTAATTCCTAGAAGGTCTTCTGGAAGATTAGGATCAACAAATGTTTTCCTAGGCAGTGCTGTTTTGGAGTAAAAAGAGACTGAAGCCGTGCATGTCTTTTGCAGAGCCACTCACAGTACTGGATACCAGCAAGGTGTATGTCAAAATACAGCCTGCCAAAAGTGTTCAAAGCACTCAGTTTAGTTCTCTGAGAAGTTTTTCTGTCTCAACTTGATAAACCATATGCAGACCTATCTGTGGTTTATCCTGTAATTTTATTACAGGCTTGTGGAGAGAATAGCTTAACTCAGAGACAAAGCTGATGTATCTGAGTATAAAATGCAAGGGGGAGAAGAGGGATTAAAAGAAAAACAGACCAATGATAGCCTCTTTTGTAATGACCCTTTCCTTGTCTTGCAGGATCAAAAGGCCACAGGTGAAACCTGCTCTGTGAAAGAATCATTACACTGGAGCACATGGGGCACAAACATTTGTGCACCAGAAGAAATGGCTAAGTGAGCAGTGCACATGCAGTAATTCAAGAGAACAAGAACAGTAACAAAAACCAAGAATGACTGGTAAAAACAAAGAAATGGCAGTGCTGCCTGGAGCATATCAAGGCCACACTGTGTATAGAAAAATACCAAAAATGCAAAATAGTAACTGTGTAACAACTCAACTCTGAACCTTCTTTGCCAAAACAAAAAGGTTTCTGGGATCAGCATTGTCATTTATCAAGAACCATGGAAACAGAGAAGGATGTGATAGCTAGCAGTCCTTGTTCTCCATGCCACCACAAGTAATCCTGGCATCTACAAGAAAAGGAAATCAGTTTTGTTTAAAACACGGAGCACCTTTCTGTGTGCTCTGTGTGCACACCTTTCTGGTGTGCTCATACAATGCATTTTGCTCCATTTATTGTGGCAACAAAGTGGAAGAAGAAAACAACATTCTAGTTCCATTATAATTACGACATTCTTGCTTAATTACAAACAATACCAGTACAATGCACAGAAGACACTCAAATTCCATCAAGTCCCGAGGTAAAAGTTGTCATGTTTGCAAAGAGAATTGACCTTTTAGGAAGAAACAGCAGTAACTCATGATAAAAAGATGGTAAAAGCAGAAGACACATTGCAAGGCATTTACATTGTGTTCCTATTTGCTCAGGTGTGCAACTGAGAGTTTTGCACAAGCATGTAGACACATTGCATGTTCCAGACAAAACCTGCTTGATTGTTGTGGTTCTGAACAGAAGCTAAATATATTGCAGCAGCTGCATATTCAGTCAGTTGGTGTGATTAGAGACAGACTGTCAATGCTGAAGCGTGATTACCATGATATATAAAGCTTACAAACGAATCAAGTCACAAATTAAACAGTATTTAGATGACTAATTGTGTGACTGCATATTATATTCACCACAAGTCCCAAATATTTCTTCCAGAGTTCTGACCTGTCACAAAAGTTAAATCAAACCATCCAAAAGCCTGAGATTAAGGAAAAAAATGTTGTGCTGATCCTTTCTATCATCTTATCTTACTCTGTGATGCACATACATTTTATCTGTGTACACCATCACTAAGAGCAAGGCAGTTTTAGTCCCTGACACACGTAGCTTCACTCAGCTCCACTCAGCTGAACTCATCTGAAAACAAAACTCACTGCACACACCCATGGTATAGAAGAGGGCTCAACTGTACGCACAGAGCACAGTCCAAATTGCTGTGTGGGATCTGGAGGAAAACAGCTCCTGAACTTGTATCATAGAAAAAACAGCACTTTATGAGCTTCTCCTGTGGCATACACACGTACAAGACAATCTTGGTCACAAAATATCCTCCCACTTTATTTTGCCAATTGATAGGGGCAATTTAAAGAACACAGACACCAATGGAAAGAATGATCTTATTTTACTACAAGTATTAAGGCAACACAAAAGTAAAATGATACATTAAATAAAACAATAAGCTTACTACGTGCTTATTAGGAACGTAGCGTTAGGAACATGCAAAAATAAGCAAGGTAATGCACCTCAGCCTTACTACACAAGAGAAAGGGCAGTGATTTAGAAAGATGTATCACCAACTGCCTAAATACTTTACCATCATCCAGAATAAGAAATTGCTGGGGAGCCCCATTTTGCAGTGATGACCTGGAGAATCCTTCCTGGCAATTGGGAGAATCCTGGCAATTGGTGTATCCACTTGTAGATGAGGTCTCTAAATTCACCCTGAAAGGGGATCCAGCTTTTACAGGTCCAAATCAGCAAGTCTAAGTGACTTGATTGTATTTTTTAGTGCCGAAGCTGTATCTGATGGTGTACTTCCCTCCCAGCTGGGGGCAGGGCATGGCCTGGGGCCAGGTCTTGGCTGGGAGCATCTTCTCTAAAACACCCTACAAACAAGCCTCTATTAATGCCCAGTGGGAAAGTTCCTTAAAATGATACAATTCTTGCAGACAGCTGCACAAGATGTGAAAGTTTCTAAAGCAGCCAGTTGGTGATAAACAGCTAGCATAAGCATGTCAGTCATTTGTTTTTAGCTAAACAATACTGTCATCACATAATGCCCAAGATTCATCCCCTAAGTCAGCTCTGGCTGAGCACTTCACACTTCAAGCCCCCTCTTACACAGTACAGTAACCATGCTCTGTACATTAATATACAGACTGCCTATATAATTTGGTACCTCTACAACTCTTGCCAGTAGGAGCTTAGACGTTTGCTACTTGTTCTAGGGGAAAAGGTTTCCTTCAAGGAAGGGTATTGTCCAGATTGATACAGCTTTTTCACAAGAAGGAAACTGTGTTTCTTTCCCAAAGCAAAACTGACAGAATACTTAAGATTCTCACTGTCATGCAAACCTTATCTGTTAGAAGGGATACTGCATTTTTCAGTGACTATCTGTTCTACGGGCTGAAGGTCTCCAAGCTTTTAAGACCAGTTAAAAGATATGGTAGATAAGTAAAGGCAAAGAAGTTGACAGTACTCTGAGATCCCTCTTCCCTATTCTGATTAACGTATTTTTGAACCTGTGCCAGTGAGAAGTAGGACTGTAGTTACCTTAATCCTCTAGCCTGCAATGAAGAGGATGATGTTTGATTAAACAGGCAATAAAAATTTATACAACTAATGTTAATGGATAAACTTTTCTCTACACTCTCAATTACCCATCCTAGGAAATCTGTTTACTTTTCAACTGCCAACACCTAATAGAGAACACAGTAGGTACTGGGAAAATACCAACTCTTCTCCCTTACAAGCCCTAATACTTTGCATTAGCTCAAGTAGCAGCAAAATGAAGGAGCACATGAGCAAGATGATGGTTGCTGTTCCTCTACAAGCCTCAAAGTCTGGCACTAGTATACTTGCCACAAAATTAGGAAAGAGAATGCTGAATGTGGTTCCAAGGCAGAAAGATGACAATGGCTCAGCAGGTATCCCTGAAATCCACTGTACAACAGCAGGTGGGCACACAGTTAAGATGCAGCACCAGCGTGTGTAATCTTGGTTCTCTCCACTGCAGAAGTCTAGTTACCCAGCAGAAACTTTGCTACCTCTTGAATTTAGGCAAAGCTGAGTGCAGTGTCTGCACCATAGACTGTCCTACAGACACAGGCTGACAGCAGGACTAGTGTAGTGTAGTTTCACCAGCTGGATCTCCTTCCTCTGTCTCTCACTGCAATCTTCAACGCTTTGAAGGAAACGGTATTTGTATGTTTTCTCTGGTAACTTCTGCAACAATCAAATAGGGAAAAAAACCCTCCAAACAATTCACATTAAATCTGCACTTCACACTGTTTTCAAGGCAGTGGCTGTGTCTTTGCAGAAGTCTGAATGCATGACTGCAGAGTTTTGTTGCATATGCAAACTTGTTTGTTAATACTTCAGCCTACTAACTGAAACAAAAACATATCCTACCCTTTACTTACAGGGATACATTTTTATTATAGGTCTAGAAGACAGTCACATGTTCATCTAAGCAGCATGTGAGAAGAAAATGTTATTTGTACTTTTCCCCCTTAAGATGCATATGTGTACAGAATAGCACGTGATTCAGCACAGAGGTTCTGCAAAATTACTCTATGTACACCTGTAGCCTGCAAGCAGTTTTGACAGTTATTGTCTCAGAGCACGACTCTCAAAGGACAAGAGAGCAAATCAGATAATCTTTTTTTCTCAATAATGATTTTATTGTAAAAAGAACAGTTAATAAAACTTCTCTGTCCATAAGGAAATAATAAGTTCATATTTTACATATGAAAATATTGAAAAATAACCATCCAGCGACGATTACAGCGTTTTATCAATGGCTGGGACTCGGAGCATTTTCACTCATTTTCACTCATCATCCACAGCAACTAAAAAATCAGTTTTTTTGGTAATCCTGAAAAGTGTAAATCACATTGTTAGCAAAGTATAGAGGTCCAGCCTCGTCCTCAAGGCCCCCTTCTACTCTTAACTGTTGAATGCTGTTTATGAAAGACAGTACTTCTTGACATTTTCTAACAAATCCATGAGAGAGTGCTAGAATCAAAGTTCACTTGAAGCAATATGTATATTCCAAAAGTCATCAATTCTGTAATTAAGTTGCATTTAGGATACATGTAAATATTTCTCTTCGTTCATACAAAAACCTAACTGTTGATATGCAAAGCTAACCACCTAATTCTACTTTGAAACTCAAGAAAAGCAAGCTTGTTCTAAGGCTTAAGTTTGTCCCACCGCACACATACTCTAAAGGATTTTTCTTATGTGCTGTCAAATCTAGGACAAATTCTTAATCTTAAATATGAATAGAATGTTTCTGTTTTTTTTTCAAAACCAATAGTTTTGATACCAGATTCCTTATGCTTAATCTACATAGGAAAACTTCAGTGCATCATCCTTTATAATCCCTGTTTTGTGTAGCTACAGCTCTGTAGGAATGCATATTAACAGGACTAGAAATAGGTGTTCTGGGGAAGCAGTGCTGCTTCTGGTTAAGTGACAGAGAGGAGATGGGCAGTTATGTCACTATAGAATCAGTGTCTCCCAAAACCTCACTGATCAGAAGTAAGTGGTAGCAGCAGATACAAAGCACGTACATTTCACACTTTTCTAGGCAGTCATCCATCTAGTGATAGATTTCCTCTGAGAATAGAGGCTGTTTTCTGAGTATTTAGATTTGGTGAACACACCCCACAGGCTACAGGGGTTTGCTCTTGTGGAAAAGCAGCACATATGGCAATGGCATGAATCTTTATTCCAACAGTCAGCTCCCGGTGCCAGTAATTTCAAAGAGGATACCCATCAGCAAGCACTCAGTTTATTCTGCCAAGTTCTGGAGTGCTGACTCAACAGGGCTAGGGGAAAGAAATGTGCTCTGTAGGATACAAGGCTATTCTAAGAATTTCATGAAATGCAACTTATTTTTCTTGGAAATTACATTTGCACATTTCCACGCCCTACAGCAATGCTGTCCTTCAAATTTTTATTTAAACCAAGACTAGAGGATTATTCAGATTTTAAATTTAGATGGTAATGCTATGTAAGAAGAGCAAATCCGGGACAGCAGATTTGCTAGCTCTATCATTGGCTCTCTACTTTAACATTTGTTGGCACTAGAGGAACTACCTTTGAAACCTTCTGGATCTATCAGCCCATCTAAGGCAGTAAAAGAACATTATGAAAATCCACATTAGAAAATACATCATGTCTCCATTCCCAGTGGGTAGAAATTATAATGCTTTTTATAGCAATACTCAAAGGTCTCAAAAAGTAATGCTAACTTCCTTACCGCCTCATTTCTAGCCAATCTCAAAACTCCTAGCATGTACACAGAAGCATGGAAACATGTTAAAGCAACAATTGTTCTAGCTTGATATAGCTCTGGAAACTCTGCTCATTGTCAAATGCACAAATTCAAATCATTAAGTCACAGAAATCAAGCACTCATTTCTCCTTTTTCCTGTCCTTTAGTTAACAGATGTATTTTAGGGTGTATACCCCCAAAAACTTATCACAAACTTTCCATGATCTTTGGAAAAGGAGATAAAATGCTTAAATTAATTGTCTGTGCTATTGTAACTTGACAAGTCCCCACATGCCAGGACACCCATGGTACTGGGGTCAGCAAACAATGTGCAAGTAGTCAGCTGATAACTTTTTTTTTTTGAGATTGAAAACTCAAAGTAGTGAACCTAATGTATTTTTCCTCTAATTTGATGAAGACAGAAACAACAATTCAAAGTGCCTAAAAAGCAAGTTGAACCCTAATAAGGGAGATTTCTCTCTGAACTCAAGAGGAAGTACACTTCTATCAAAGTAGCTCCATTCAAAAAAAATATCACTCATATTAAAACTTGAGTCTCATACAGGCAATAAGAAAAAGCTGATGCTAACCTGACCACTGCTATCTAGCATATTCCAGATGTTAAGAAGACCAACTCCAAGTTTAAAAATAGTATTTACCTCCCTAATAGAAGGCCTGAGTAATTTAGTGTCAGATACAGGTCTTGAGTCCTGAGCACTTGTGTTGCCACAAAGATATGAAATACATCCTACTGTCTGGAGAAGACTGGAGGTGCATCACAGAAGTGTGCTTAATGCTCCTGACCCAGAGTAGTCTTAAAAGTTAACCTCCTTACCTTAAGACAGAGTGAGCAAAAATCTCTCCTCTGAATCTGATCTACCCCCTCCAGCCTGTCATTTCACAGAATATCATGCTATGTTTCAGATTCTCTCTCTCTTTTCTTAAGTGGTGCGAAGTTAAATTACTTCCATCAGAGTAAGAGGTCTCAGAAAAAAAAAAAAAAGGTTCATCATAATAGCCTATAATTTACTGGGGAGTACCACTCTCCATTACAGAATTAATGGAATAGATTTATTTTTTCTAATAGACTCCTAAGCATCATTGAAGAGCCTTTTTTTGTGCTAATTCTGTTAGAAACAGGGCTAAGTAATTCTGACCCCAAACCATATATCATTAAAGGGCATCAGCCAGTGCTCAGGGAATTAGTTAATTTAGAGAGTTTTTCTTCTAAAACACTGGAAGCATTCCATTCTCTCTGAGCATGTAGCTCCTATTTAAAATTGGTGACGTATTACAAAATTACCTTGATCTATTCCTTCTGGTCTTTTCCTTTTTAAATTTAAAAGCGCATTTTGTGGCTCCTTTGCAGCTTCAGCAGGACAGTTGGGTCTTGGAAGCTGATTTCCTGGAGTGGGTCCTGGTCGGTTACTGAAATACTTCTGTTTCAATGCCTTAATGATAATCGAAGAAACAGAAACAAGTAATTAGTATAAAGAGGTTATAGTGAAACCAAGCACTTTTAATTGGGCCTTAAAAACTACTTGAACACTTTTATACTACAGAGTGGCCTCGAGGCAAATAAAGGTTGTGTTAGCAATTACTATCCACCCCACATGGATCTGTAAAGCAAGAGATAATTGTACACTCCTATTTTTAACCAGTGTTCAGACATCCTGACAAAGCTAGATTATTTTGTAAGAAGTCTTGTATAAGTGGCTTCTAGCTCTGAAGAGCTTACATTCTAAATAGACAGATCATATAAGATGATGATATAAAAGAAAGTAGGAATAATGAAAAATTAAAGGAACATTTTTGAAGTCTTGATCAGATTCACAATCTGGACACCAGCTGTTTTGTTAGTTTTTAAGATGGGCCTTTCCCCCATATTGCTCTAACTGTGCTGTTTCTACCCTGTAAACTGTGAGAAAGAAATCACTTGTATTAGAGCAGAAGACAAACACTAGTCAGCAAGATTGGTTTCATGTAGCAGAATTACATACCTTACTTTAAATTTTTGGAACCATGAAGTGTGATTAACAAAAAAGTAGCTGTCTCTTAGGTAATAATTTCTTGGCCAGTTACATGATATTCAATGTCAGCTATAAAGTTTAGACTAGAAAAGTAATATATATTCAAGCCACTATCCTACAATATGACCTGAAAAATGACTATATACTTTTGAACTATCAGAGAGATGTCTCAAGCATAGCAGAACTAATTATCTGGAAACTTAAGAGCAAATATTCTTAAAGATAGTGGCCAAAACAGCCTGAATGTGACCTGGAAAAGTCTTCTAGTACAAAGATACATAACACATGCACTGATGTCATGGCTTCCAATCTAAGCAGCAATGAGGGAGTCCTGGCTCAAAGGGGACAGCGGTTTCTTGCACGCTTCCCTATCAGTGTAAAGTGATAGGGAAGTGTGCCAACTGCTTTTCACTTTTAAGCTTTTAACTGCCAACTGGTGTATCTGCCTCATCTCAGAAATCAGTTATGCAAACTAGAACATTCTGCAAGATCTTTCTTCCAAGTCTTCCATTTCTCCCCATCACAGAGTAGTAAAATTGAAAGTATCACAGAAAAGGATAATTAGATAAGAATGATGGTTTAAACACCACAGAATTTTATGTTTAAGAAGTACCATAAAAGTTTAAAAGACATTGAAGAAGAGACAGGATGAAGTAAGGAGAAAAATCTTCCAAACCCAGGGAGTAAGATAAGCTATGTTAAGACTTAACCTTCGATTTTTAGGTGACTGAATTCAGCATGTCAAATATCACTGTTGGAAGGTCATGGCTCATACACATTTTAGTTCTTTACCTTGACTCCACACTGGGAATGGAGATAACCACTTAGTACTATCCATGCCTTTCACAGTTCTCTCTATAAAACACTGGGATTACGTTTCTAGTAATTCATGTCACGTTTCATTTCAAACATGGCTAACTGGCTTCAAAAAACATTTATCTGATATTAAGAGTGGTTTAATGAACATTAGGAGATAACCCAAGTGTACTATACCTGAGTAGCTGTTACTCTAGTGGAAGGATTAAACGTGAATAAGCCTTGAAGAAGACTGAGCAGATCATCACCAGCTGCACTGAAGATATGCTGAAGTGGCATTCCAGGGAATGGCTTAAATGTGACATAATCTGGAAGACTTGTCATCCCCTACAAAGACCAGAAATAGAATGTATATTTTTCCCCTAGAAAGAGTTCAGCTTTTCACAGAAAGTGAACTGCATATGGCTCTTTCACCAGAAGCCACTCATCTTTCAAAACACACTGCTAATACTTGGTCACCGAAATAAAATAACTAGAGGAATAGAAGGTCATAAAAGCTTTTTTTAAAGTAACTGTTACAGTGTGAAACAACTATCCAAATGATCTGTCCTTCCCTTGCCTTAGTTGTGACCAGTCCAAAAGGAAAAACTGCTCAAAGAAGTATGAAAGAATTTTAGACTGGGTCAGACAAATGAAATAAAACCTCCTTTAGTGAACTGACATGGCAAGAGGGAAAATATTTACAAAAGAGTCAGTCTTCACCTTCTCTACATTAATAAACGTTATCTGAACATCATGTGCATTTTGATATTAAATGCACAACTGAAACTTTATATGGACAATGGGAGCAGGGAAGGAAAATATGCACCAAGCAGTTAAACAAAAAATGAACTGCATACTTTTTTGTTCTCTAGGTATGAGATCAAACCCATTGTGTTCACATTCTAGCATAAAAATTACACAGACAATTGTAACAGACAATTACACAAACATAATGATTTTGTAGTGTTTTAAGTATTTAAAGCCTTAGTTGTCACACTTCAAGTTTGTCCAAGTAAAGTAAAATATTAATACAAGGTCAAATATGTATTCAATCAGTTATAATCTTGATAGTAAAGGCTGCAATTATTAAAATGCACATGTTTGGAAATGAACTTGGGAATTATGTCATCTTTGCTGTGTTAACCAATCTCCTATTCTCTCTTTTACCCACTAGTATCTTAAATTTTCCTCTCCAAAGGAAGGAGAAATGTCATTGCAAAAACCTTCATGCATTCCATTTAGAACCCTCAAGAAATATGAGAATTGTGGGGGCCTAGCAGTGCCTCACACAGCAGTTCTCCATTTGGCTACAGCTCCATTTCATGACCACATATCATAGGATTCCAGCACCACTTACAATAAAGAAAAGCTGCATGGAAAGAAGGCAGAAGTGAACAAGTCCAGTGAGTGCTTCCACAACTCAGCAACAAAAGACAACATCCTGATCAGGGAATTCTGGACTCCCTGTGTCCAGAACTGGTACTACTCCCTGGTAACTGGTACAAGTAGCTCATCAGACATCATGTCTTGCCTCCTGTCACTCTGTTTAATAACCACGGTTGGGTAGGTCATTGTGTGACGTGACAGTAAGTTGGGCCTGGTGTTACTTAATTTGCTGTCATCTCAGAGAAAATCATACTGATTGTATTTGTTTCAGGACCATTGTTGAGGCAAATTGTTTATCCTTAAAGCTGTTGGTCTCCGCTTCGTATTATCCCCAAACTATAATTTACCAAGGCCAACTTAGGTCCCTGCAAATGGTTCCTACTTCTGAAAGTGATTAAAGCCTTCCAGGTTAAAGCATGCTAATTAAACAAGCACCTCAAAAACATTAAGCAGCAACAACAATCTCATACTAGTAGCCATGTGATACTGTGCACATAGAAAGGAAGTGTTGATACTGTTACTGTTGACCAGAGGTTTGGCAAGAGAAACAACAAATCTCAGTTGCTTTATGAGATGAAGCAACTGCCTTCCGAAAAATCTACTCAAGTGTTCTGATATAATCACTTAATTTCAAGAGCTAAAATAGAGAGTATCAAGTAAAACCAGTATCAGTCTGTTAAACAAAACAACTCACAGGCCATTGTTCTTCTGTTGGAGTGCCCAGTGTTTCAAATATCCTTGTCAGCTGGTCAAGATCAGAGTCTCCAGGCAAAAAAGGAACCTGGAAGAAGGACATGGTATTTGAATTAGCTTCTGAACTTCAATTTTAGAAAGAAGCTTTGAGTGATACTGCATAATTGTAAGGCAAAAGCCCCCTGTATACCATCTCCCCACAAAGAGGTACACTGGATAGTTGAGGCATTCTATTTATGCTCAAATAGATTCTGAAAGTTTCCTGAACCCAGGCTTGGTATCCGTGACTTGACAGCAGACAGCTTAAACATAAGACTATGTTTAATCACAACCACATTAATGTAAAATTTACTAAACACAGAAAAGATCTTATATCTCAGAAGTCAACCTAAAGTCAGTTGGTCATCTTTTCCCCACTTGTTCTCAGGAGGTAGCTTTTATATATATTTCAAGTGTATCACAAGTTTGCCTTACAAAATTAAATGAAAACTTGAAGGAAAGTAGAGACCCACTAGGAGAGAAAACTGTCTGATCAGTGTCACATGACATTTAAATAAAGCAAAAAACTGAAAAGGGGATATTTGTCCGGTCCAACTTCTAGCTCACATATCAGACACACAATGTAAGGAAAAAGAAACTTGGTGACCAAAGCAAATTTATGAAGAATTAGAGGCAGTGTTTAATTAATTAGGACAGAAAAACCATAATGGATATCCCTAGTAGACAGCATACTATATTGTGGCATCATGAAAGCCCCTTGAATATAAACTGCTTTCATAAAAAGCTCTTGGAAGTTGCATTGTCCCAAAAAAGAACACATACATTTCAAAATATCACAATGATAAAAACTGAACCATAATGCACTTTGTGTTTTGTGACAAACCAAAGAATCAAATGAATTCAAGAATTATTGGCTTACTAACTTTGCTTAAATGCATTCAGATTTAGCAGGTCTAATGCATATTTATGTATCCATCAACAGTGCTGCTTAAAGAGCCACTGTTCATTTCCATATCTTGATCTGCCAATCAAATTCAACCAGCACACCTATTTGGTGTGACCAGTCAAAGCAAAAGGTTTCTTTCAAAGTCTTTTCACACAAGTCTGGTTATGATATGGCCACAAAAGCATTCAAAGGTGTAGAAACCAAGGAGAAGTCACTTAGTCATGGAAGTGCAGGATACTTCATGCCTTCAACTGTGTCTGTACCCCAACTCTCCACTGCTCCCCTCTTTAAAGACACTTTAATGTCTTCTCCAAAGAGCTATACAATAAACATTCCACTTCAGTGGAAAATACTCAAGGATCATTACATTTGTGTACCACACTGAAGAGTGCCATAAGATTATCCTGATGTTAAGCTTCACAGCTTCATTCCAGTATTGTCAACTAAACGCATTTTAGAAGAAAATTAGTCCTCCATTCATTTTCAATAAAACCACAATTAAGGTACTGGTGATTATAACTGAGGAACAGTGTATAAGGGATAGCCCAAGCAGGTATATGCATGCGATGTTACATTCCTAGAACAGTAGTGATCTAAAATAGGTATCTGTGGACTGTAAGAGTTACCTACTTGACCTCTCCCAAGGCATGACTGTGACAGTTTGTGGCAACTTTTTAACCCTGGTGTTTAAAGACTTCCAATGCTTGTGATGTTTATGAAGCCTCAGTTTATTCCAGAAAACCACTTTGATTACAGTTAATAAGATTTTGGAAAGTTTTTTCTGGCCTGGGTTCATCTGCTTTTAGCAGGAAAGAAAAAACCCATAAAAAGCCGTAGTGAACAGAAGGGCCAATACAAAATGCTTACATTTGAATACTTACTCTGAGGAGCAATTCAGCTAAAATACAACCAACAGCCCACATATCAACACCAACACCGTACATTCTAGCCCCAAACAATAGTTCTGGAGCTCGGTACCACCTGAAAAGAAAACACATTTTGGAAGAATAATCTGGCTTTGCCCATGTCAAATGCTACATACTGTTGCAATGCAAAAGCTAAGAAAAGGATATAACTTCTACCTATATACTTTTCAAATATTGAAGAGTTGTATTCTGTAAAGTGTTTTGTTTAAGAAGAAATGAACAAATTTGTGCACACCTCACCACAGGGTCATGTACAACCACAGATGAACTGCAGTTTCAACTGACCTGATTACAAGTATTGAACAGCAGACACGCAAGGAAGAAAGTTCTTAACATGCAGGTAAATTGAAATTTTCTTAAAATTTTATGTTGAATGAATCACAGCAAGACAGAATTCCTTCCATCTCCCAAGAATTTCCATATCAACAAACCTAAGTATAGAGACTACTTTTATGTAAAATGAGCCTTGTTTTATTGAATGAACTACTCACACTGCCTAAGAACAATCAAATTTAACAAAATGGCACTGCATTTGACACTGTAGAATTTCTGTCTTTTGAATAAAGGTGTTAAACCAGCTTTGCCTGAATAGCTTTAGCATTCCAGCAGTCAAAAAGCAGAATGTTGCATATTTTGCAGCCCCACTTTTTACAGCATACCTTAAATAAGCATGCCATAAAAACCATTCATAAATACTTAAACTGGTTCAAGTGTTTGTCTCAAAATAGGTTGTCGCAGACATTTTTCACAGAAATCCTTTCTTTCAGATTTCTGCATCATCTGGGAAGCAGAAGCCCCAGAGGAGAATGTAAACAATTGTTATCAGCTGCTGTGAAATGCAATAGGATGCACCTGTGATTGGTTCATGTTCCCATGTTTATAATTAAGGGCCAATCACAGGAGCAAGCTGGGGACAGAGCCCCTGGACACAACTCTGTTATAGATTCTTTCTGAGCTTAGCTTAGCAGCATCTGCAACCTCTCTCTTCATCCTATTTAGTATAGCCATAATGTATTATATATCATATATCAATAAATCCAGCCTTCTGATCAAGAAACAAGATTCTCGTCCATCTCTCACCCCCAGCGACCCACTCAGGTCGCTGTAATAACAGGTAATGTGAATAACTCCAAAAATGGTTCTAGGTTCTTGTGATTAGCAGAAAGTAGCAGCTGTCATTCTTGCTCCAAAATCCAGGCTTCTAAGCAGACATGTGTATTACACGTGCTATTTCCAGACATTTCAAAAGAGTATAATTTTGATAGATAACAGGAACCACCCCCACAGATACATACTCAAGCAGTTCTTATGGAGACTTTGTTAAACAATGCTTCCTTGTGGTATTTTTATGCAGCTCTTGCCACATCACATGAGCAGATACCACTCTGAATATGTTGATTTGACATGACATATTTCAAGAAATACCTATAAAGCAACTAAACAATCTCTGTGTAAGAAACAAAATAGAGTGCCTTACCTTGTTACTACCTGATGTGTGTAAACTCTGTTTGGGCTTCCAAAAGATTTTGCCAAGCCAAAGTCAGCCAATTTCAAAACTCCATTTTCATCTAGCAACAAGTTATTTGGTTTAAGATCCTGTCAGTATAGAAAACAAATAATGAGATTTACCAGTATTGATAAAAACAGACATATAATGAATCTCCTGGCAGACACATCATAACAGTGTTGTAAAATGAAAGATTTAATTCTATCCTAAATCCTACATTGTCAGCAAAAATTTTAACCCCCCCAGGACATAAGAATTTCATTATATATGGAAACCATAGTGAGACAGATCCATTTAATATTAACACATTTAACTTGCAGAGTTTAAAAAAGCCTCTTGATAGGTTTTACATTTTCTGCAAGTACAGCAGTTGTGTTATCTGCACAGCTGCCAAATGAATAATAAAAAGACTTGGACGATGCTTCAAATAATGGCAGAAATCACAGAAGCCACACAGTTCAATACAGTAGCAGTATATTGTGGGCTGACCTCAGGCCAACAGAGATCAACCCAACAGTACCCAACAGTATCCAACCCAAAAGTATCCACACAGCCATTTGCTCTTTTTCTTCTTACCCCACCCACCACCTTCAGCAGTACAGGGGAGAGAAGATCAAAAGCAGGAAAACTCTAGGAGCAGCACAAAGGCAGTTTAACAGGAAAGAACTAAAAATCAAAGCAAACAAGCAAGGCCATGGAAATCCTTCACCACCCTCCAAAAGGAGAGTGATACATAGTCTCCAAAGGGCAGCTAGCTTGTAAACCAAAATTCCCCCTTTTTCCTCTACCCCAGTTTTTACCACTGACCAAGGCATTACATGCCATACAGTATCCCTACGAACAACTTGGGTCAGCTGCTTCAGCTGTGTCTCCTCCTTACTTCTTACCCCAAGCCTACTCATCAGGGCAAGGGCAGAGTGAGAAAAAGAGAAAGCTTTGACACTGCCTGATAGAAAGGAGAAAGCCTCAAGAGTTCAGCTGCTATGAAAAAAGTCCAATCCATCCCAGGCAGACCCAGTTCACAGTGATAATTAAAGTCACATCTAACTGGAGAACCTTTTATGCAAGTATCAAAGTCATAAGCACATCTGTAAATGTTAACATTTCTGGTACTGCTATTATCTCTCCAAAACAGCAAATATGAATGCTTATGGAATGAGACTGTCTAAATTCCAAAACTACCTTCATTAGGCTTTAGACTCTAAATCCACCCAATGTGATTTTTGTTGCAGGATGAAGGCGGTCAATTTAGAACATGCTTACCCTGTGTAAAATCCAATGCTGATGTAAATATTCTAATCCTTGAAGCGTCATCAGCATATATGCCTTGATGTGAGACTGCGTCAACACAATACTTGTATCCTTTATAATAACCTGCAAAGTGTTGAAGTCATGGTAAAGCTCAGCACACAAGACAACCTCATCTCCATTCTTTCAGCTCAAAAGTTATTTCCACCTTTAAGACAGGCCTCAGATTGGCAGTCATATATTCTCTACCATTTCACCCTTTTTCCAGAAAAATAGTCAGTTTTGGAGATCAGAATTGAAATGGGGAGTCCAGATAGCTTACATGAACTTTGCATAACCCAACAACAAAAAAATGCGTGGGAAACAGAAGTTTAGCATTCAATCTCAGTTCCATGTTGATACCCAAACTTCCAGGACAAAGATGTACACATATGAATGATAAAAGTGACAATAAACTAGAAATTATGTTTCCCCTTATTCCTTCTTTCTCTTTGCAATTTAAGTAACTAATCTTTGTAAATACAATGGTTTCCTCTTCTATTTCCAAAAAGACCAGAGGGTATGGCCACTTGATTGTATTTTAAAAAAAAAATCTACTTCAGTTTTCTACATTCTTTGATTTTTAACATTAAAATTCTACAAAGACCCCAAAGCTTGTTTGTTAATACTACAGTCCTGCCCAGTAATAGCCTTCCATAAGCTAAGTTTTGGAAGAGCTAAGACTGCACAAATTTCATGTACGCAGCAGATGCTTAATCACAACAGGCAGCAGTCTCAGGGGCAGCCTGAGTGATACCACAGTACAATTTAAAGATTGCACACATGTACATCATGCAATCCAAGAGTATTTAATTTTTCTTTGTACACCAATCTTCTTCATCTCTAAACTTTGCCTAACTACTATGTAAACAGAATGAATCCTCTAAAAGTCTACTCATTACTAACCTCTATTAGCAAAAATCTGATCTAACCTTTTCATGACTTGCATTCACCTAAATTTCAGCAAGCCTGTCCCTGGAAGGCACCAATTTGCAATTACCTAGCATTGCTACATTTGAAAACATGTTTAAAGTGCACATGATTTTACTACCAGCATGTCTCTTACTATACTTCAGTGTCACACTTATGTAAACATGTTTGGTGTTATGCTTATCAACTGCATCCCAGAAGCAATGATCCAGAGGCTCTACACTCTGACTGGAGTTCCAGAAAACTAACATAGTCAACACAATTTCTTCCTTTAAGATCATGCTGACAAGTATTTCGAAGTAAAGGAATTAATCAAATGAGAACTCAAAAACTGAAATTACTGAAGCTACTTTTAAGACATGACCTTAATCAACTGACATAATAAAAGACACCTTTCGAATATGGGCTTGTTAAAGCAGCACTTTACATAAGCCTGTTAAAGCAGCACTTTCATAAACCATCTTAATATACGGAAATAAAGTCTTTAAAAATCTTACCTCTAAATCTGTTTCCATAAAATCAAACACCAGACTAATATTAGACTTGTGTCCAAATGCATCAATAAGCTGCAAAACAAAATACATTATGATTAAGCATGCTCTGATTCTTCCAGTTTTCTGAAATTCAACACTACTGTAGTCTGTACGTGGATTTTCAGTTTACTGAGAATTTGTTCAAGTTCTTTGACTTGTAACACAAAAATTCTTACTCAGTTTAGCTTCTTAACTCAGTTTCCAAACCAGAAAAAAATTCCCATTAAATATGGCAACAACATTTCACATGATTGCCCTTCCTTCCTGGAGATAGACAAAAGAGCAAGAATTAACTTTATCATGTTAACTACAACAGATAATGTAATGCAAACCACATATCTCCCAAACTTTCCTGTTCTAACTACCCTTCAGTGAGACAAGACTAAGTTTGCCCATGGATTCAGCTTTGTGCATCTCCTTCCTGTAAGCATACAATATTTAGAAATTTTAAGTGTTAGGCTTATGAACTTCAGACATTTTTAGATCTGTATTCATTTTTGTAGCTAGCTTTCCAAGGTAAATAAAACTCTTTTGAGGACATCCAAACAGCCCTTTCTTAGGATGAAGCTGTGTAATGACACAATCAATTTCTAATTTGAGATAACACAAGCGTGATATTGAGCAAAAGCAAGAGATCATTTAGCCTGGTGTTCTTCCTTCAAGCTGAAGAAGATATGTGTGCAACTGGTGCAGCTCACTCCTCAGTCTCAGTGTGATGACCACATAAATTGGCAAACTGCAAGGTATTTGTTTGAATAGTTCAGAATAGCAGTGACTGTGCCCCTTACACTCCCAAAACCCACAAACGTTTTGTAGGGACTACTAAGTGGAGCACAACACCATCTCTTGTTTTTGGAACCTGCTTCTGGAACTCCTGATTATAAATTTGTCTAACTCTTCTTTGAACGGTTGATGCAATTTGCTTCTACACGGCCCATGGCAACACATCCTATGAATTCATTACACACTGAATGAAGCAGTACAGTCTCCACTCCTGCTGCCAATAGGTTTTAAATGCATCTTATTTCTAGGACAATGGTGTTTGGAAATATAATTCCTGCACGGACACCACCTATCACCTTGGTTTTGTAGACCTCCCCATTACCAGCTTTTCCCTCTCCAAAATGATTAATTCCTCATTTTTTTCATAAAGAATATGCTCCATCCCTCTGCCTTTTTAGTTGTCACCCCCTGCATGTTCTCTAACCTTGATAGCTAAAGCAACCACTTTGAAAGTAGGGTCACAATCCAGAAGAGAACCATATTTTCGCTTTGAAAAGTATACAGAAAATTAGTATTTCATGTACTTAATCATATTGACACTTTCTAATTATCACTATGATCTAACTTTTTAGTGTTTTTAGCTCCAGCTGTGTATCTGTAGGTGTAAGTATACCAAAATGCAATTGAAACTAAAAAGAGATTTTAAACATCATATCTATGTGCTAAAATAAGCCTGCTATTTTATACATGACTAATAAGCCACATGACTTCCCTGTTACCATTGCTTTAAAAAGCCTGCTTTTTGACTGTCACCAGTTCCCTATGAAGCAATCAATCAAGTAAATTCAGCACTGTGTTCATTAGCAATCCTATCAGAGATGCAAAACCAAGCAATCTACATTCTCACAATTGTTCTACCATTAGCATCTATGTAGGCTCAGGCAAAAACCTGAAATTATTAAAAAAAATAAACCAAAACAACACCTCTGCCTTTGTTATTGAAATAGGCACATAATAATTGACATAATAATTGTTGAATTACTGACAGTATTTTAAGACTGATTCTAGAACTAGCATTTGTTTTACTTACACCAATAATATTTGGATGGCTTAGCTCCTGTAACAGTTTTATCTCCCTGAGGGCAGTCCTGTTGATTCCTACAGTGATGGAAAGAAGAAAAGAAGATGAAAGAACAAAATAAAAACTCTGGATTAAGCTCCAAATAAACTTGTCATTCTACTACTCACAGACTATTTACTACTACAAATTACATTCCTAACACTAGTCAATTTGCTAAATAACATGGACATTGCCATAACTAACTAAATTGCTGCAAAATAGAAATGGGCATACACTTTCTTCCATGGCAAGTCCATTTCACACCATAGTAATCAGGCTTACATTATGAAGCAACACATGTACATTTTGGCAAAAAGGGAAAGTTGTAGGGAAAAAAAATCACCTTTTTCAGGGTATTGGAAGGCTTCCTTTAATTTTAAAGAAAAGTTTCATTTTGCAATCAGTCCCTCAACATGTCTCACTTCCAGAGAGAGGCATACCGTCAACCCTCATTAATAAACCTCTTTTCTTTTTGACATACCATTATCTAATAATGCAAGGCATATGTTTTTCTACATTTATTCTGTAGCATATACAAGGCATAAAAGAGAGAGCAACCAAAACCTGCTTACTCTTACTTGAATTTCCCCATAAGCAGATTTTATACAGGAAAAACCAGGGGCCAACAGGGAGCAAATGGTGTCCTTCAGCAGTCACACTGATGGCACTGTATCAAACCATGGTTCCTGCAGGGTACCAATTCCTCCTTCAAAAATGCTAGAATGTGTGGCTTGTATGAAAACTGGCAAGCAAATACTCCTGTGGTGTATCATGCAGGAAATTCCAGCTGCACATGAGCCGAAAAACAGTGCTCTCCTAAAACCTGGCATATGATTCAATGCTAAAACTTGCAAAGTTTTGGGTCAAGCTACATTGATTACTTTACATTCCTGCTTTGCCTCTTTTAATTACATGTTTTGGAATCAAATTAACAAAGGCTGCTTTTGGGTAGGCACAGTCTTAGATGAAAACAAAAAAGCATGCCATGTTATCAGATAACACAGCGAAAGCAGATATGATCATTATTTTGAATAACATCTTTCACCTACAGCTAGACACTGTAGAGGGCAAAAGCAATGACTGTCCCTAAGGGCCATTAGGCCATTGAGGGCCAAGTAGATCACAACTCTCAGGCAGCTGGCTCAATTGTGAGACTCTGGGATGAGTGATCAGTTTCTCTTTAAAAGAAAAGAACTGGAGAGTTGATAGCAAAGACTGTTCACTGGAAAGCTGATGAAGGAGTCCTGAAGGACAGCAGCCTGCACACAAATAAAATTCTGCTGCACCTTGCAGGCGATAAGACAAAGATTACTTGGTTTCAATTTGCCATATTCACACCTACAGGCACAGGGTTGGTCAGAGCACATGCTCCATAGGGTTGAACATCAAAAAAACAGGACACAGAGACAAGAGTTTTGATCTTGTTTTTATCCACTTTTGCCTCTGTGCACATCACAAAAATAGAACAAAGGAAACATCTGAAAACATGCTAATACTCTCACTCATCTTAAGTATTTAAGGCATAGAGATGTATTGATACAAAAAGGTATTCTAAACTCAGTGCTGTTGTTATTACTATTAGTCCATGCTATATTCATGTATGAATTCCATTAAAATTGAGAAGTTATATACTCATATTTAAACATATACCATTCATGCAGGTGTCTATGCTGTTTTTGGTTGTCCCTGCAGCTTGTGAAGCAAACCTCTACTAAGCCTTACTGAGCTCAATTTTCTCAGCCAATGGTATGGGAAATTAATGTCTCAATTCACAAAAACAAAGCAAACAAAGCACAGCTTCTACAGTATGAATTTGTTTTAAAACTCACCATCTTTAGCTTCTGATCTATGCCCCAGTTTAATCTGAAAATAAATATTTCATGTTAAGCAAGATTAAGATGGTGGAGAATACATTTTTTTAGTGTTGCTCCTCTAAGACAGAATTAGTTTTTGAGTAATGAATCACTTTACCAGCTGGGTTGGCTTTAACTGGAGTTTATTTCCCCCTTAAAAAATAACTGTCTCTACAGCATTAGTTTTGACAAAAAATAGCAATGAGGGCACTAAAAACAGACATAATGCAAGTATAAACTACTTTGTAGCCACAAAGCTTTATTACAACGCTAAATGAGCTTCTCCTTAGGGAGAAATGAGAGCTAAGTAATTGACAGTTATCTTAGAGTGATTCTAGTAAAATTAGCATAGGCTGTAAACTCAGGCAGGCTCTAGGTCTTTTTGTCTCAATCATCTAATGACTTGAAATTTTAAGTCTAGAATTATATTGAATGATATTTCCAGATGATAAAAGTTAAGAAAATATTCTGATAAAACAAAGAATGCTCTCCACCACAGCCTCTACCAGCAGCAACCATACAAAACAAATATTGCAATGCTAAAGGAATTAGTGCATTAAACAAGACTGCTTACTATTAACACGATTCAACCTGTTGAGTCTTCAAATAAAGAAACCATTGTAACATGCATTTTTCATCCCTTATAAAGAACAGCTGAAGACCCATTTTTAATATAAAAACTTCCTGCAATTCCTTCAGATAGTAACAATTGAAACACTTCATGACAATGTAAGCATTTCCATTATTTGTATGCAAACCAGCATGCTAGATATCCAAGATCACTTTTGTCATATTTTATCAAAAAACAATCATACTGGATAAGGGACATTACTGGAAAACTCTGAAGTCTAGTAAGGGCCTCTGACTACTATTCATTATTGTTTGTTCAAGCTGGCAGCAACACAGTAACAAATAAAGGACTGAGGGTACTCAAAAGAGACTTGAGGGCCCCAGGACAATTAATAAAAGAATATGGAGAACAGACAGTGATCCTTCTGGTATCAAGAAATAATACTGATAGGAATAGGCAGATCCATCAGGTTGCCATGTGGCTCTGAGGTTGGTGTCACAAGAAAAACTTTGGGTTCTTTGACAGTTGAAAGTTTGAACACCTGTTCTACTGACACCTGGTTGGAAGGTTGCACCTTTCTCAGAGTGGAAAAAGAGCTCTGGCAGAGGAGCTAGCAGGGCTCATTGGCAGAGCTTTAAACTGGCTTGGAAGCGAGAAAAGGAAAATACCCAGCTCACCAGTGATAATCAGTGGGACAGTGTGTCGAAACCTGAGGAAATGAACACTAATGGGCCACCTCCATCTGCTTCATGAGGGGCTGGCTACAAATTACAGCACCTGAAATGTGTCTCTACCAACACATGCAGCAGGAGGAGCAAACAAGAGGAGCTCAAAGCTTCAATTCAGTCCCACAGGTTTGATATCATTGACTTAAGTGAAACCTGGTGGGATCAGTCCTGAGACTGGAGTGCCCTGTTGGGCAGCTGCAGGCTCTTCAGGAGAGGCACACAGGACAAAAGAGGCAGGGGGGTGGCATCATATGTAATGGAAGGGCTGGAATGTACCAAGCTTACAGCTGGAAATGGTGCAGTTGAGAGCCTCTGGGTAGGAAAGAAGGGACAAATAATGTGGATGTCATTGTGGAAGTCTGCTACAGATCTCCCAGTCAGGACAATGATGCCAATTAATTCTTCTTTGAGGAACTAAGGGATGCTTCCAAATCAACTGCCCTTGTTCTTATGGGGGACTTCAACTTGTCAGAAAGCAACTGGAAGCATCACACAACAGGTACAGCCTGGGACAGAAGATTCCTGAAAATCTGGACAACTCTGTGGAAAAGGTCCCAGGGGAGCTGACTCAAAAGGACCTTCTTTGATCTGCTGCTTGTCAACAGAGAGAATCTCATGAGCAAAGTGGAAACTGAGGCCATCTTGGCCACAGCAACCACAAAGCCATTGAGTTTAAAATCTCTGTTAACAGTAGGAAAGCGCCAGCAAAACTTCAACCCTGGACATGAGGAGAGCAGACTTCAGGCTACTCAGGGAATTGATAAGTAAAGTCCCCTGGAAAAACATTTTTGCAGGTGCTGGGCCCATCAGTGCTGGCTACTTTTTAAGCATCACCTCCTAGGGGCACTGGAACAGGCAATTCCCAAATGTCATGAGTCAAGCAGATGAGGAAGAAGGACAACTTGGCTGAACAGGGATGTCCCCTTGAATATAAGGTAAAGAAGGAAGGCATACGCTCAATGGAAGCAGGTCAGATGACATGGAAAGAATACAGAGAGGCTGCTACACACTTATTATTAGAAGGGGAATCAATATGAGATTTTATTGAGATGGTGGCCAACCTCAATGGACAAAGCTGCAAGAAACAAGGCTCTGCTAATTCAATTATTCAGGAAACATTTGTCTAAAAATGACAAGACTTGAGGTAACAGCACAAAGCTAATTCAGAGGAGTTTAAGTTGGATATTAGGATAAGATTCCTCATCCAAGGGAAGCAGCCATGGCACCCAGTGGTGTTTGGACAACTGCCTCAGGCACATGGTGTGATTCTTGCATTGTCCGGCACAGCGATGACAGCTGGATTTGATTATGTTGATGGGTCCCTTCCAACTCAGCATATTCTATGTTTCTATAAATTTTAAGGAACTTTATAAAGGATAACATTCTGTAATGAAGGAAATTGGACACTGCCACAGCAACGATTTAAAATTAAACAAAAAAAAAACAACTATCAAGGCACAGTAAAGTCTGCAGTTCAGTAATGTGTGTGTGTTGGTTTGTTTGTTGAATAAACCTAACAAATAACTAGAAATTCAAGTCACAGACCATGCAACCCTTCAGAAACACAGCAAAGCCACTTCCTCTTCTGGAGTGGGTGGGCATTACAAACAGGTTAACCAGATCATTTAAACAAACTTCTGTGCTTAGAGAGATAGAAATGCATATCATGCCATTTCCCATCAAGTTGGTTAAAAAAAAAAAAAAGACGTTAGGTAGGTCAAGAGTAACCAGACACTTTGTGACAGGCTGAGAAGACATTCTGACACATACCTTCTTAATAGCAACGATTCGGTTGTTCGACTTGTCCCTGGCTTTAAAAACGGTGGCGAACTGGGGACAGAGAGAGATGCTGCTGTGAGCAGGGCCTGACAGACTGGGCGAGGGAGAGGCCCCGAGCCCTCCTCGGGCCCAGGGTGGGCACCGCCCCGCGCTCCCCGCGTCTCCCTCCCGTCGCGGGCGGGCGGCGACACGGGCCGGGCCCAGCTGGGCTGCCGCAGCCCCAGGGCCGCGGGCGGCCCCCGCAGCGGTTGCTCACCTGCCCCTCCCCAAGGAAGTCGAGCTTCTCGTAGCGCTTGGCGCGGGCCCGCGCATCCATGACCGGGACGTTGTGCGGCAGGAGCGGCGGCGGGGATGCCCGGGAAGGCGGCAGCACTGCGCGGCGCTGCTCGGCGCTTTCACCCCCAGGCCCCGCCGCTTCCAGCCCCGGCGCGGCCCGGCCCCTGCGCGCGCAGCGGCCCACGGTGAGGCGCAGGCGCCGTTCCCTGACGGATCGGCCTCGGCTCGGGTGCGCGGCGCGGTTCGCGCTGTGGCTCTCTGCTGCAGCGGGCAGCAGCTCCTCCCCGAAGCTGCTTCTGTTTTCACCCTGATCTCACGTCTGACATTCAGGGACATTTCTGTAATTTCTGTGCTTAGGGGGACAGTTTTTTAATTTAAAAAATTATTATTCTATAGAAAGGGTGCTCTCAGGCACTTTGTTAGGTTCTAGTGGAAATTCTTAATTGTACTTCTATAGTTTCTTCATTATGAATAATTACCTACCATATAGTACTTAAAACTACCGTCAATACCATCAATACTACTACTGTAAGAGTAGTACAGTATTTCTCATACAGGAGAAATTCTCACTTGAAAATTAATTTCCCTACATGTCCAAGCTTTGCTATTATTTACTAATTAGTCTGTAAGACCAACAAAGTTGTGCAACTATGAAGAATAGCCAACATCTCTGAGAGCGCTTCAGTGTCTTCCTGCCTCTAAAATCATTCTCAGTGACACATCCAGGTGAGTCAGTCTTAACCTCAATCCCTGGAAAAGTGGTGGTGTGCCTCATACTGGAGGCCATCTCTCCCTATGTGGATGACAAGAAGATGATCAGGAATATTAACAGGGCTTCACTAGAAGCAAATATTGACCAACCTGATTGCCTTCTACAAGGAAATAACTACCTGGATGGGTAAGGGGAGAGCAGTGGATATTGTCATCTTGATATCAGTAGGGATTTCAATGCTGTCTGTTAACATCCTCATAGACAAACTCAGGAATGCAGGCTGGATGAGTGGACAGTGAGGTGGATCAAGGACTGGCTGAACAACAGATCACAGAGGGTTACAATCAGTGTCACAGGGTCTAGTTGGAGGCCTGTCCCTAGTGGTGTCCCTCTAGTGTCACCCCTAGTGGTATTCAATGCTGTACTGTTTAACTTATTCATCCATGACTTGCATGAAGGGGCAGATGCCTCCTCAGCAAATTCACTGAGAACACAGAGCTGGGCAGAGTGGCTGATACCCTGGAGTGCTGTGCAGCCCTTCAGAAGGACCTCAGCAGGTTGGAGAAATGGACAAAGAACCATCTGAAATTCAGCAAGGGCAAGTGCAGGGTCCTGCAGCTGGGGAGGAACAACCCCAGGCACCAGCACAGGCTGGGGCTGCCCTGCTGGGGAGCAGCTCTGTGGAGAAGGACCTGGGGGTCCTGGTGGACAAGAAGCTCTCCATGAGCCAGCAGTGTGTCCCGGTAGCCAAGAAGGCCAATGGTAACCTGGGGGCATTGGGAAGAGCATTGCCAGCAGGTGGAGGGAGGTGATCCTGCCCCTCTACTCAGCCCTGCTGAGGCCTCACCTGGAGTGCTGTGTCCAGTTCTGGGCTCCTCAGGACAACAGAGACATGGAGCTCCTGGAGTGGGTCCAGCAAAGGGCAAAAAATTTTATTAAGGCTCTGAAGCATCTCTCTTGTGAGGAAAGACAGGGAGAGCTGGGGCTGTTCAGCCTCGAGGAAATAGAACTGAGAGGAGACCTCATCAGTGTTTATCAGTACTTGAAGGGAAATTGCCAAGATGGACCAGGCTCTTCCTAGTGGTGCCAAGCAGTAGAACAAGAGGCAGTGGGCAGAAGCAGATGCCCAGGAAGTTCCGCCTGGACATGAGGAAGAACTTTATGGTGCAGATGACCATGCACTGGAACAGATTGCTCAGAGAGGGTGTGGAGTCTCCCTCACTGGAAATACTCAAGCATCATCTGGACACAATCCTGTGCCATATGTTCTGGGATGACCCTGCTTGAGCAGGAAGGTCAATAAAAATGACCCATTGTGGTCCCTTCCAACCTGATCCATTCTGTGACTTTGTGATCTCAACCAGTGGAAAAATAAAATGACTCTGTTAGATTGTTGACTTTTCAAATGGCTAATTAGAAAAATATTTTAATGGTGCAGACATCATATATATTCAATTGCTATTAGCCATCAACATAAAATCCTTCTCAGTCACAAACAAATCAGTATATTGTGTGTTGTGTCAATCTTCTCACCCATCATATGGGATTTTATTAAAGCTATTAGTATACAATAATTTTTAATATTAAGGCATTTTAATTTAATGCCTTTATTGTGAATATAATACCTCATTCTTCAACAGTGGCCAAGAAACTATCTTCCACATTTATTCTGGACCTCCACGCTGTAAAAGAAAATCATACAGTTAAATATATTCCACTAATAGAACTTAAAACTGAGATAAAAATCTCTTTTAAACTGTTATAGACTAAGAGACACAGTTCTAGTTTTAATTTCTGATTTAAATATTGACCTATACAAGAACAGATAGTGTGGATATCAGTATCCACCAGTCATGGCTACATTTTTTTCAAGGGAAAGTACAAAAAAATTGAGCAAGACAACACATGCCACCTACAGTTACAGCTGCTTCCATGTCTCTTTCTCTGAAGAAACCTGACTCTTATCCTTCAAAAGGTCTGACAAACACAATGCTAAGAGACACAAGTTTTAAAATAACTTTCACTGCCTACGTTCCAAACTGCAAAGTAAAAACAAAGCCAAACAGAGTCATTACAATCTTAATGAGAAATCAGAAAGGCATTCAGTTCATTATTTTTCCAACAAAATTATTTTACAACTTACCTCACTGTTAACCAAACATGCAAAAAGTCAAAAAGTGTATTACTGTGGGAAATAACTGATTTTACTTCTACTATATAGATGCAGCCTACTTGCACACAAGAAGATTTCTAGATTTCCTCTACTAACACAGTTATGCTATTTATGCCCTTACCATTTAACAAAACTTTGCAAGCATCTTTTAATTTCAAACTCACCATCACCTCACAAATTCCTCAAATTTTGTGCATTGTCCCTTTTCAACCATCAGTTTTTACAACTGAGAATTGTTGCAGAATAGAAGCAGGTTTTTCTTGCCTTTCATGTAAAATTTCATATTTACAAGTATTGCAGAAAATACTTATATCAAGTTTAATAAAATGTTTCCACTACTAGAAATACAAGAGTTAATTTACTAATAAATAACTTATAAAACTAATTTGAGAAATATTTTGTACTTTGATCACCTGGTAATAGCCTTTTCTGGTCTAAAAACTTCTGTGATCCTGCTCAGCAAAGTCAAATTACACTTTAAACAGCTGTTATAAAACAGGTAGTGGTGGCAATTAATGCAGGCTATGACTATCACCAGCTTACTTGCACATCTGTTCTAAGTCCAAATCTCTCTACTCAGTGGTACCATGCTACTATGCAGTGAGATTTGGTACCTTCTGTATTAAGAATTGGTACATTGGGTACTGCATATGAAAACCATGAAAGCCCAGGGCACACTCTTATAAAGAATTACTATGTAATACCATACCAGAAGAAGTAGAAATTAAAGAAGAAAACTTACTTGAATATACTCAATCTCTTCATCTGACATTTGTCTCCTTCTGTATTTCTGAGGTAAACTTCTTGCTAATTCAGAAGTGTCTGGTGTGCCTTGTACTCTACTAACACGTGAAATATTTTGAAAGGCCGGTGATGTGCCTCCTACAGATTCCTGTGCTTTTGAAGCAAGGAGAGATGGCATACTTGCTTGTAGAGATTCCTGTACTGAAACCCAGATTTTAAAACCATTTACAGAAATGTTACTAGACTGTAAAATTAATAAGCAGCCAATAAAATCTACCATTGCCTGAAAATCTCATTCACTACAACAAACACCTAAAAGAATTAAATCACTCTACTTCTCACAACCTGTTTTTATTGTTGTTAAATGTATCAAGTGCAGACTCTAAAAATGCTGACAGTAGTATGAATGGCAGAAACGCTGATGTGGAGACGAAAGATCAACATACACCCTAACAATGGCTTTTTCACTGAGAAAGGTGTACTCGGAGAAAAAGCATAAAGTTATGTAAATGTTTGTGTGTGGGCAATTATGTAGAAGATAACTGAGATGATGCTTTTAGTTTACTACAACTGAAAAGACAGACAAGTGAAAAAGATCTAGAGGCTTACAGAAAGATAAAGCTCGCAGCCAGAACAGGCCACAACATGCAATGCAGGGCTGCACCCATTTTTAATATTACAAAATGGCATCCTATCACATTTTGTTAATGATGTGCAGAATGACAAGTATCAGGCATCAGCAGTCAATGTTAATGAAATGTAAAGACCAAGGAGTGCATGAAGTTCTTCACAGGTGAGGATCAGGAGCTAAGCTTCAGGAATTCACATCAGAAAAGTTGCCTTGATTGTGCAGATAGAAGAGATGACAAAAGGGTAATGTCACAGTCAGTGTTCCAAACCTTACGTCTGTCCCACCATAGCTGATTTTACAATGGAAATATGCAATTGCCCCACTAGGCAGGACAGAGATCATAGCAATATGTTCATTTCAGGACTCAGTCGTATATATGGGATAGGATCCATCCCAGGTGATGAGGGAGCTGGCAGATGAGCTTGCAAAGCTGCTCTCCATCATTTGCCAACAGTCCTGGCTCACTGGTGAGGTTCCAGAGGACTGGAAACTGGCCAGTGTGACTGCCATTCATAAAAAGCATGGGAAGGAGGATCCTGGCAATTATAGGCCAGTTAGCCTGACCTCTGTACCAGGTAAGGTTCTGGAACAGTTTATACCGAGTGCCAGCACACAGCACTCACAGGATGGCCAGGGTGTCAGAACCAGCCAGCACAGGTTTACGGGGGACAGGTTGTGTTTCACCAACCTGAACTCCTTTTATGACCAAGTGACCCACCTGGTGGATGTGGGAAAGGCTGTGGATGTTGTGTACCTGGACTTCAGCAAGGCCTTGGCACTGTCTCCCACAGCACACTCCTGGAAAAGCTGGGAGCCCACGGCTTGGACAGGAGCTCTCTGTGCTGGGTTAGGAACTGGCTGGATGGCCGGGCCCAGAGGGTGCTGGTGAATGGTGCTGCATCCAGCTGGTGGCTGCTCACCAGAGGTGTCCCTCAGGGGTCTGTGCTGGGGCCAGTGCTGTTCAATGTCTTTATTGATGACATGGATGAGGGGATTGAGGCTTTCAGTAGTGAATTTGCAGATGACACTGAGCTGGGATCGTGTGTCGATCTGTTGGAAGGTGGGAGGGCTCTGCAGAGAGACCTGGAATGACTGAATGGATGGGCAGAGTCCAGCAGGATGAAGTTTAACAAGTCCAGTTGTCAAGTCCTGCATTTTGGCCACAGTAACCCCCAGTAATTTTACAGGCTGTGGGTGGTGTGGCTGGACAGTGCCCAGGCAGAAAGGGACCTGGGGGTGCTGGTGACAGCGGCTGAACACGAGCCAGCAGTGTGCCCTGGTGGCCTTACAGGCCAGTGGCATCCTGGCCTGTGTCAGGAACAGTGTGGCCAGCAGGAGCAGGGAGGTCACCCTTCCCTGTACTCGGCACTGGTGAGGCAGCACCTTGAGTGCTGTGTCCAGCTCTGGGCCCTCAGTTTGGGAAGGACCTTGAGACACCCGAGCAGGTCCAGAGGAGGCAACCAGGCTGGTGAGGGGCTTGGAACACAAACCCTGTGAGGAACGGCTGAGGGAGCTGGGGGTGTTTAGCCTGGAGAAAAGGAGACTCAGGGGTGCCCTTATCACTCCTAAAACTCCCTGAAAGGTGGCTGTAGTCAGATGGGGGTTGGTCTCTTCGTCCAGGCAAAATCTGACAGAATCAGAGGACACAGTCTTAAGCTGCACCAAGGGAAGTACAGGTTGGATATCTGGAAAAAGTTTTTTAACTAACAAGTGATAAAGTACTGAAGTGGTCTGCCTGGGGAGGTAGTGCAGTCACCATCCCTGGATGTGTTTAAAAAAAGACTGGATGTGGCACTCAGTGCCATGGTTTAGCTGAGGTGTTAGGGCAAGGGTTGGACTCAATGATCTTGAAGTTCTCTTCCAGATCTTGAAGTTCTCTTCCAACCTTCTAGTCACCCTGTGATATGTAAGGGTAAAACACCTGACAAAGCTGAATGCTTCCACAGAAGTCCTTCCCAATGCTCCAGAAAATTGAGCAAGACAAGTGCAACATCTAACAGCTGGACAGAAGCTCTATATAATTATAAAATAAGCAGCATGAAAACAGCATATGCAAAAGCATGTGAGCAGCTACAACAGCACAGTTTTGCCTGCCTTTGCCCTTCCTGGCTCCAGCAAGACCAATGACCACAAAGGAGAGGGAGCCTTAATGAAATTTTAGCCTTAATGAATCTGATGCAGTTGCAGGATTGGGACAAACAATCAAACACTTGCAGCACTGTGATGAAACTACCATTGAGAGGCATATTAAGAAGTTGTCAGTCATAAGACTGGGTCTGAAAGTCCCAAGGTGGTTCAGAAATAATGGAAGATCCCAAACAGAGCACCCATCAGGAGTAGCATATTTGCATATTTATTGTGAACAGGGGGCAAAGTATTTTTGTTTCAAGAAATAATAGACCTTACATTAAAAAAAAAAAAAAAAAAAAGGGGGGGGGGGAAAGGCAAGAAAAAAAGGAAGAAAAAAAGCCGTTTCTCCAAGTTTGTTTCACCATGAAAGTCTAGAGATTTGTCAAGGATTTTCCTCTACTGTATGTTTCAGTCTGAAGTGTAGTTGGAATAGACTCATTAGTGAATTAAAAACATGAGAACTGCAGTAATCAGAAATTTTACTATTGCTGCTTTAGTTCTATTACAGTCTCTACTACATCTCTCCCTGTTTGAGACCATAATGTTGCAGCATTAATAGGCCCACTGGAATTGGGCTGGCCTTTCACATCCCTAGTTGCTCTGAGGAGCCATTTAGTGATGTAGGAGCAACAATCTGGTACAATTAAATGCAGGTTTTGCTACAGCATTCAAGCAAGACAAAGTAGGTTGCGGTTTACTAACAAGACAACAGATCCTGATGAAGGTAGAAAAGTCTAACATACTTAAAAGATACAGTCACAAGAATCTTCTGACACAGAGATAAACAAGAGGTCAGAAACACATTTTCAAGCTTTTGAGAAAGTAGTTCACTGGCATGAGAGGTGGTGCATTTAGCAGAACTGTGCAAAATGTGCAGAAGTTTTACAGAAAGTTATTGCAGAAAATAGTTCCTGAAGAGTTCACAGGCAAGTCAGAAGAGGCATTTATATGCACTGTGGAGGCTTTCAAATGTTAAACTAAACTTCAACTAAACTGTGGGCTTGGTAATCCTGACAAATAACTAGGCATAGTATAATATCAAAAGAAGTGAGAATAATGTAACAGAGCTTTTAAAGACAACTTCTACTTTTCTTTCAGATGCTTTTTGACCCAAAAGGACTTCTAAATCAACATATTGCTAATATAAGTTTGTTGTTTAAATATAATAGTATTGGGAATACCATAAATATCAACACAGGTATAAAAGTTAATGACAAAGATTGCAATGAATTTTTTTTCCCCTTAACATTAGTTAGTAACACAAGAAAATACTTCTTAAAATGTACAGAGGGTTGGATCTCCCAGCTATAATTATGTTTTGAAAAAACAGCAGAAAATACATCACACACTTCAACTAAGAAAAAATGAGGAAAATGAAACATCATTTATGCAAATATCACTGAATAACTAAAGCTGCTTCAAACTGACTTGGGCACAGTAACTTCCGTAAATATTAATATTTGGGAAAATGTGACTTTATATAAAGTAGAACACAAACACTGGAAGTCCTTGTGAATCTTTCTTGACAAAAAAAATATAGATCTGCATGCACTATGTGTCTACACACAGCTGCACAGAAAAGAAGTTGTGGAGAAAGTTCAAGAGTTGCCTTCAAACTAAACCAAGCATGTTTCAAAAACCTCACTCCAACTCAGTTCAGCTGTATAGCTGAAAGACAGAAATTGGGTCCCGGTTTTTAAATACAACAGTCCATGTAAAGAAATGTGGCGCAAGCTGTATCCATATCCAAAATACTTACTTTTAGGTCTGGGACCACTTTTTCTGTCTGGGAACTTTATTAATGGAGTATGTGGCTTGACTACCTAGAAGGAGACCAGGCAGTGGGAGAAACAGACACAGGTTACCGTGAATAATAAAATGTATCAACCAACCACTCTAAACAGCTGTTCTCTGCTCCACTACTCTGATACACTTACTGCTTCTTGAAGTCCTAAGTTTACCTCAGGAGGAAGTCTACTTTAAAAAGCAGTCCTGCACTCTGAGGTCCAGAGCAGGTTTGTCTTCCTTTTCCCATCAGTCTGTGTGTATGCAGAAACAGCCACTGCTATTGCATAAATGCAATCACAACGCAATGTGCTCTGGTTAGAACCCATCCAGAGTGCTGTGTCCAGCTCTGGGGTCCCCAAAGGAAAAAAAACATGGACTGGAGTGAGTCCAAAGCAGGGCCGTTAAGATCTTCAGAGGGTGTCCTCACCTCTCCTGTGAGACAGGCTGAGTGCTGGGGTTGTTCAGCCTGAAGAATGCACTGGGGAGACCTTACAATCCAAAGGGCAGGTTTGGATTAAAAACATTAGGAAGATTAGGAAGAAATTCTTTATTTTGAGGGTGCTGCAGCACTGGCAGAAGATGCCCACAGCATCTGTGGCTGTCCCATCCCTGGAAGTGCCTTAGACCAGGTTGGATGGAGGTTTGAGCAACCTGGTCTAATAAAGGTGTCCCTGCCCACGGCAGGGGGGTGCTGCAACTAGGTGACCTTTAAGGTCCCTTCCGATCCAAACCATGCCGTGGTTCCACAGTGCTTTAGCACATGGAATCGCGAGCTGTGCTCTGCCTGTACAAAGCACTTTCACCTTACAGAGGCCCACCTTAGGAAGGAGCTGCCAGCCAGCTCCGCACCCGCTGCTATCACAGCGTCCGGCACCTGCGACACCGTGTGCACGCGGCTGCACAGCTCTCCCCAAGGACACCGGCCGCCCCGGCGGCATCTCCTCATCCTGCGGCCGTCTCGACCTGCTGCCCGGCGGCGACAGCAGAAGCGAGCCCCGCCGCCCGATCCAGGGCTCCGGCTGTCTCAGACATGCCGTCCCGGGGACGCCCTTACCTGCACCGCCCTTGTAGCGGCCGCCATCTTGCTGCCCATGGTGAGGAGCCTGAGGGGCAGCTCGGGGCCCCGCCCACAGCCACTAACGCCGGTACGGGCGGGGCCTGTCTAGGGGCGGGGCCTGTCTAGGGGCGGAGCCTGTCTAGGGGCGGGGCCTGTCTAGAGGCGGGGCCTGTCTAGGGGCGGGGCCTGTCTAGGGGCGGGGCCTGTCTAGGGGCGGGGCCGCAGCGGAGGCCTGGCCTGCCAAACCAGCCACTTTACCGTGAGTTAAAAAAAACTCCAAACCAAGCAAAACATTTTCAGTAAAATCAGCGTTTTATTATTAGATCAAGACATCCACCTACAAAAAATAGCTGGCAATCACTCACCAAGTTAAAAGTGAAGCTACACACCAAGATAATAAGGGACACTACACATTCCTAAACTGTGCTATGCCCCAAGAGTCAATTTCCTTCAAACATCAAACAAAGAACACCAAGTTAAAAAAGCACAAATTCTACTGAAGACATGCAATTAAAACATTGCTTAGCTGCACAGTCAACAGTATGAAGTCACCTCTGCAGACAAGAGTCAGTGCTAACAGGAGCAAAAATTTTTGGTGTTTAAAATGATACATAATGCCTTAAAACCAAAAATAGTCCCAACTCCAGACTTGCTCATAAATTTTCCTGACTGAGCATTTGACTGGGACTGAGCAGCCCTTTGACACAGTCTATTTCTCTGGAGAGAACAACATCTTCCAGAAAGGTCAAATTTTAAAATTTAAGATACATAAAATTTATCAAGTTTAGTTAAAATGCACACAATGTATAAAATAAACACCACATCTCCTGACTCACTGACTCACTACATTTTTTTCAAACTGTAGAACAATTGCCTTTAAAGATTCATCTTCTGCCCAGTTAATTCTGCTTCCAATTATGATGTTCTATAAATGAGAAAGATTTACAGGTTAAAACAAGGCCTTGTAAAGGACAATTCCTAGTAAAATATCTTAAAGAAAGTCTGCTTTATAATTTTAATTTGAAAGCCCTTGAAATTCACTAGTGTTTGAAGCAGGCAGGATGGAGGGAAAAAGGAGAAAGGGAAGTATTGCTTTAGATCCTATTGTTGATACATAGGCAAAAAACCCTCAAATCCATGCTTTTTTATCTTCTAGAGGGCCTTGCATACTACCTCTATGTTAAATACAGAAACCTAGAGAACGTTTTTAACAATATGAAATAAAGTTTGCCTCAACAAAAATAAGTTAACATTCTCACCCTGCCATTTTGGATTGAAAAGGGGAATTTAAATTTAGCCAAAGAGAATTTGCTCTACTTAGGGCTGAGAAAATTTCAGGAATACAAAGCCAAGAGATAGTTTTAGACTCTTATCTAAATGCCAGTACAATGTTAAATTTCTCGTTCTGAATTTGAGATGTAAGACTGTCTCTAAACTCTGTAAAAAAATAATGCAAAGATGCTTGTGACCATTTCATTCTCTTAGCCTTTAAAGCAGAAGTTTTTCTTCTATACACAGTTCTTCCATTATTAAACTTAAAGGTTTTAACAACACAAAATTGTTTTCTAAGTTATATTTGCCATACAATGTAATATCTTGAGTGTAATCAAAAATCGTAAACTTGGTTCTAAAAGCCACACAACATTACCTGGAACACATGTTGAATTATTGTAGTAATCCATCTTTGTTTTTCTAATTTATAAAGCATCTTCTCATGTAAATTCACATATGCTTGTTTCTCCTTTTGCCTTTTCTTCATGGTATGAATTTGCTGTAGTTTCTCTCTTCCATGTTTTGTTTGTACTGTTACATTATTAGGAAAATTAAGCATTAAATAGTTATGTGTACAGTAGAAATGAAGATACTCTTTTCCTCACAGCCACCTAAAGCACTTCCAGTGCATAATCCTTATTTCACACTCCACTCCTTCCCTCATATATTCCTCAATATATTTCTTTTATGAAAGAAGCAACACACGTGTGGCTACTTGGTTATCAAACTATATCAGTTGGTTCCCTGGCCAACTGTAAAACAGAATGTACATTGTATGCTGCCTGCATTTCCCTCACACAGGGAGTAATTTGCATCTCTTTCCTATACCCTGTTTTTGAGTGCCACAACTTTTATAGGTCTTTTTTATACCTTTTAAAGACCCTTACTCCTTTTTCAGATTTCACTGAAACCAAATTCCAAAGTCATACAAGGAGAATATGAACATGACCAGCGAATATTACTATTTTTATAGGAAACCAGGTTAAAAACTAGACTGATTAAAAGTGTTTAGGAGCAGTTCATGTGTTGAAAGAATGTCGGCAGAGCATTCCTTCCTTTATCTGCAGAGATATCAGTATGTTCATTTTTCCCATGTGAGCAGTTATTTCACTGTGTTCGTTCATTACTGTCTACATATACACAACTCCCTGCACGTGAATCAAACAATAGCTGTTAGAATTGGTGGCAAACCTGGTCACGAAAGAAAGAACATTCAAAGAACACATTTACCATATGAAGTTCTGAATATTGATGTCACATCTAAATTTGACCCACTCTAACAAGACTACTGAAAATCAATATATGTATACTTCTTTCTAAGCAAATTCCCCCTCTATTCTGCAAATACCTCATAAATGTGCCATAGGACAAAAAAGTATCTTTTAGGTGCTGTAAGGCTGATTTAAATGACTAAACAATGTGTAACTTTCTGAGGAGCTTACCTGAAATAATAAAATGCTGCCACGTTGTTTTTGAGTATTGTCTTGCATCTCTCATTCTAATGTGTCAGTCTCACAAGTAAGGAACACAACAGCTCATCTCTTTCTACTCTTTTAACAAGTTTTATAACTGTGTTGAGTTTTGCTGCTTCCCATGTAAATTAATAATACTACAAGAGTAACTTTAAAATATGAACTATATGAACTCTACATTAAAATACAAACCAAAGTCAATACAGGTAACACACTTACAGAGTCTTTCCATTTTAATGTTAATCAGCTGCTGTTCCTTCTGATGTACTTGCTGAAAGGAAACAAAAAGTATTTTCCAGACTCTTGTCTTCAAAAATACTGAAAGATGCTAATTCAGTCCCCAAAACCAGCTAAGGATAACTCTAAGCCAGACTTACTTACATGATCACTTGAAGTAATCCTTAATTTTGACAGCAGTAGGAACTGCACACATGTTACCACATATTTAGCTTTGAATGACTTGTGCAGTCATGCTGCTTTCCAAGTGCACTCCTTCCCACGCTGAGGTTGATTTACCTGCACTACAGTAACAGAAGCTTCAACTGCCACTCACCTGCTGATAGTCAATTATTGTCCAGCTGAGCAATAGTATGTCTTGCATTGTTTCCAGGATCAGACTAAGGAAGGAAACAGTTACATACCTTAAGACCACTAATATAAGTCAATATCATAAATATTTAAATCAACTTTATTTAGTTTAAATAAAGAATTTCTGATTTCTCCTAATAGCAAATTAGTAATACGTGTCACTTCTTTTTGCACTTACACTTACAACATCCCTTCTTTTTACAGTTAATATACTCAGTGTCACTGTAGAGGCCAAAGAGTTCCGTTACTTCCCTCTCAATTCCTCTAAGATTTCATTTAAGTCTGCCCAACATTTTACATCACAGAGTTTGGATGGCATCAAGAAAGCCTAGCCATCTGGAAATGGCTATGAATTAAAGCTCCTAAATCAAGGAGATGCAATCCCTTACCTGTATTTCTGACAGAAATTAAATTTCTCATATTACACTTCATATGCATCCACCTGTTAATAATGGGCAGGCAACAAAAAGCTACTTTTAAAAATGTTTAAGCTTTCAGTTCTATTTCAAAGACATTTTGCTCCTACATAGTTAATTAATAAAGGCAGCAAAGCAGAGGCAAGGCCCTGTTACAAGCCTGTAATGTGTTTGGCTATCATAAATGCAGGTAATTTAGGAACTAAAGACAAAAAGCTCTCTTGGCTACAAGCAGTTCTCACTAGTGAATCAAGAGTTATGATCTCTGTAATCAAAGGTAGGTAAATTCAGAGCCCAACTGCAAATCTACCATGGGTGTATGAAGTCTGATCATGCTGATTCTAGCCAGAAGGTAGACACTATATCATTCTGTCAAATCTAGAAAAAGGAAGCTTGCTTTCACAAGAGGTAAAATGAAATAATCTAGAAATGTGTCACAATAAACTGTGCAAAGTTCATTGCTTTCTAGCTGTCTGACTCCCAAGAACACCTTACCGTGAGTCCTCATCATCTTGTTTCAATTTGTTTCTGAGGGTGTCCACAATTTGGGTCCTGCATATTGCAAGAAATAGCATATGACTGATGAGAACTCATAAGAAACTGAGAAAAGCAGGAAACAGAGAGAAGCAGATTTAAATAAGTAATATAAGAACATAATTTCCAAGATTCCACTTTCGTCCACTTTCACATTGGAATTATATAAACAAAATACTCAGTACCTTTTAAATACCACACTCCTTAAATAATGGGACTTAACTCTCAGGACAGGAAAGATACATCAATGATTATTTGTGAGAATGACAACTCCTTTTTCTCTTGACCAACATATTTGGACACCATTAATCCCAGAGTCTGCAGAAAGGAAGCTGGGCAAAAGTGTAAATTCAAATAAACAGCCATGAAACACATGCCTAACATTATTAAATTCCGTCTTCTCATAGGCATTTGGAAAATACTGCCAAGAAATATGCTTACTGATCTGTACAGTCACTCTTTCCCAACTGTAAAGGAGCTTTTGGGTGTGTACATTTCAACCTGTAAGTTTTTTTGTTTTGGTGGGCTTTTTTTTTGCTTTGTTTTCTACAGCATTCCTATTGTTCAATGGTACTTAAAATCTCCCCAGTCTCCCATATCACTTTAAAATCCTGTACCTATGTATATATGCATCTATGTATGCACACACACAGAGAAAAGCTCCAAGCAAAGGGTGAAGAAAATTCTACCTTTGCAAGGCCAACGTCCTGTTCTGCAAAGAGACTTTTGCATCTTCTAGATATCTTTTCAAATTTTGTGTGGCACTGAAAGACAAAAAGCAATTAGACAGACAAACTGAGTGTGAAGATAACAGAGTTTAAAAGCAGTGTCACATTTTAACTTGCTTTCTACATATCTAATTTTAGAATTTTTCATGTGAGCCACAAATCATTAGGGCCAGGAGTAATTTAGCATGTGGAACTATATTAGCGAATTCTAGCCATCATGTAAAGGACTGCAAATTTAAAACCCACATCAGATACAGAAGTACATTGGGAGGATGAATACAGCATTTCTTCCCCACAATTCTTCTTAGTTTTCATTATTTTCACCAATCTTTTCTGAAGTACTGATTGTAAATCCAGCAATTCACTAGGAAGGAATAACTAGAAGAGAATTTTGAAGCTATCTGGTGACATACCTCTGGCTAAAGTCTTCTTCAATTTCATTATCAAGGAAATTTTCCTGACCTGCAAAAGACAATGTTGCTAAAACAAGCACAACAGAGACTTTTAAATACAATCTATAGAGCACAAACGATTAGCATTTTTGTGTGAACAAGTTATTTCTTACTTCTACCTCAAAGCTTTATTATCTTTTATTGTTAATGAGGCTATGCTATCAACCAGCTGTATCAGAGAAATAATTAATTTAGCATTTTTTAGATAAGCTAGAGCTGGTTCTTGCCATCGCTCTATGTATGCCACTGGATAGTTCAACAGAAGAGCATGTACCCAACTGCACCCTGGGCTGTATCAGAAATGTGTCCAGCTGTTCAAGAGAGGTGATTCTGCCCCTCTACACAGCTCTTGGCAGACTGGTGTGCTGCATCTAGGCATAAGAAGGACATGGATCTCTTAGAGAAGGTCCAGAGGAGGGCAATGATCAGAGGGCTGGAGCACCTCTCCTATGAGGAAAAGGGTGAGAGAGTGGTTGTTCAGCTTGGAGAAGGAGGATGGGGATTTTGCTGAGTCCTTGCAAATGAAGGAGCTTACAAGAGAGCTGGAGAAGAGCTTTTTACTAAGGTACGTAGTTTGTATTTGGAAGATGGTAGGTTTAAATTAGATATACTGTGGGGTGATGAGGCACTGGTAGAGAGATTGCCCAGAGAAGCTGTGGATGCCTCATCCCTGGGAGTGTTCAAGATCAGGTTGTCAGGTTGAATAGGGCTCTGAGCAGGATGATTTAGTGGAAGTGGCTGTGCATGGTGGGAGGTTAGGAACCAGATGTGTTTAATGTCCCTTCCAACCCAAATAATCTCTTGACTCTACAGGTAATGGAAACACCTTAAATCAGTATTGCTGCCAAACAGTTTGACAAACTTTTGGCAAGACTTCAGCCCCAGTGACCAGATTTCTGAAAACCATCACTACATGTCAGGTGAACGTAAAGTTCAAACCCATAAAAGGAAGGAGAGGACAGCAGGCAGCAGCTATATGGCATCTTTGCAAACACTCAAATATGTCTCAAAAGCTGCATAGAAAATGTGTTAAAATGTACAGCCAGGAAAAAAAACCCCATCATTATCATAAGGAACACTCTTAATAAATAATTAAAGAAAAGATTAACAAACTATGTAAATATATATTTATATATTAAAATATAAATGCCACATCTCATTCTTTGTTAGTGCAACATCCCACTGAGGGGAGGGATATACTTACCGGCAAGAATAGCCGTTTTGTGCTCTCTGAGCTGCTCCTTCAGTAGGTCCCTCAGGCTGCGGCGGAAGTAAAGCGACAACGGTCAGAGGCTGCGCATCCCTTCATCCCACCCCCAGGCTGCTCCCCGTCGCGTCCCGCCAGCACTAACCGGACCAGACTGCGGACATCCAAGTCGCCGGAGCCGTCGCCGCTGCACTGGTACAACGCCGGGGCCGGAGTCAGCTCCAGCTCTCGGGCCGGGGCCGGGGCCGGGGCCGGGGCCGGGGCCGGGGCCGGGGCCGAGTCCGACTCCTGGCTCAACGCCGCCATGACAGCACCTTCAAAACGCGCGCCTCGCGCTTCCCGCGCCTGCGCAGAGTAGCGGCGGGGTGGCGCTGCCCTCAGTGGCCTGGTCCCGTACGTGCGAGCGAAAAAAGAAAATAACATCGTCAGAGCACTAGGTAAAGCGCAATAGTTCTTCCCTCTGACCTAGTCCTCACATGGAGATAGAAGCAATAGGTGCAAGCTACTAACGGAAGTAAAAAATTGACTGCAAAAAATTAACACTGAGTGAAGAGAGCTGCATAAAACAAGACTTAATTGGGTTTAAGAGCAAGTGCAGCTGTCAACCCAGCACAATGATCCTGTTTACCATTAAACCATGACCTGAAATGTGAAATGTGTCATATTCACACATTATTGAACACGGCCAGTGCGAAAAACGCCAATCTCTTGTGTTTTTTTAATTTTAAAAGTTTAATACTAATAAAATGGTTATAAAAATAATAATACAATTAGAGTAATAATAATTTGGACAATTTGAATTAGGACAATTAGAAATATGAGACAGTAGAACTAAAGAGTTACGGATGTTGGGGTGCCTTTTTCGGTGCAGCACAAGCCCGAAACACGACACACGTCTACAAAGGATTAACCCTTAAAAACAATAGCCTGTTGCATATTCATACACCTCATACATGATGCCTAAATTCCATTCAAGCACAGGATTATGTCTGGTCATCGTCAACTTCTTCCTCTGAATCCTAATAGTGCCTTCGAGGCAGGAAGAAGTTTGTTTCTTCTGTCAAGAGAGCAATAAGTTCTCTCTGAAAGATTTAGGTGTCCTGTGGCTGCTATCTCACTGCAGGTCATTTCTTTTAAAAAAAGGTATCCTACATAGCATAGTTTCTATTTTAACATTTTTATAACCTAAAGCTATATTTAACACACTACTTAAGAGAATTAATACAGCATTACTGTCTAACACAACACATATAATATTCATTTTAATATTTGTGAAAAGCCAGTCATAAAATATGCATTTTTCACACCCAGGGATGCTGACTCCTGTACAGCTCTGGGCACCTTGTTCCAATGTCTGACTACCTTGGACAGCTTCTGTAATTGTCTAAGGGCGGGTACATTACGGCTCCCCCAGCCAGTCTCCAAGAGTCCTCAACAATTTCTCCTTCGTCTTTGAGCTCTGCCACCAGGCTGAGCAGATCACCACCTCACACAGCTGATTTCTCTGCTGCCCCCATGTCTAATCTGGCAGACACTCCTCCATCAAATAAATAGCAGAGCTCATGGCAGTGCTGCTGTCCATGCACCACGCTGCGTGGCCAGCTAGGGCACCTGAGCTGGCCCGAGCTCAGCCAAGCTCTCAGCACGGCTCACAGGCTCCAGGGAGATGCCTCAGCTGCAGGAGGAAGGTAACTGTGCTGCCCTCCCCACCGGAAAAACCCAACCAAACAAAAATTATAACAGCTTTAATAAGTTTAATATAAATAAGGTACTTTGTATATACAGTGAGCAGCATTCTGCTTAAATTCATATAGAAGTTTAAAATTTTTAGCCAGATCCCATATAATGGGGGACTACAACTGTTCAATGGTGCTTATCTTAGTGTTGGCAGTGCTGGTAATATCTTAAAGGCCTAGAAATGAAACAACACGCTTTTGAGCCAATATTAGTGTGGGAGATAGTATAAAAGCTGGTCTTTATTGGAGGCCTCCAGGGAAAGATATGGAAAAATGCCCTTCCCCCCACATGTGGTGAATACAGTTTTATAAGTTTAGCAAATTAACATAACTGCCAAGAATTCTCAATTAGATGCACAAGTGATGAAGTAATTCCCACCTGTTCAGCCATCTCTGACTCCTCTCCCACCCCCTGCTGTCTAAGGATAGGAGCTAAACTTTGCTTTTGAAAATGTGTCTCAAAGAGCTGCTTTCAATCTTGGCTCCCAGAAAGAACCAAGATAGGATAGGGGCCTTGAACCCCTGGGGTTTGGAGCCTCTGGAATCTGTTTTATCTTTCTGTCTATCAGGGTAGGGAAAAGCTGAGGGGAAGTATTTGGGCTAGCTGGGAACTATGTACAACAATAATCTACAGAGCTATGAATATATATGAAGGAAGTATAACAGCAAAGGAACTATGTACAACAAAAATCTACAGAGCTATGAATATATGTGAAGGAAGTGTAACAGCAAAAATCATTCTGGCATCAGTGGCATATTTCTTTGTAACTGCCTACAGAGAAATAACGTTGATTATGTTTACCCTGTTTAATATTTCAGCTCACTTAATTCTCAGTGATCAAGCCCATCCTAGTACACAAACCCCGTTCATGGATGATCCATGCCACCTACACAAGATAAAGATCTTCAGCTCAGAAGCAAGCAGATCTTATTTAAGTCCGTCTGCAGTGACTCTACTGAACCAGCCTCTATGTGCCATGTATTGACACATAACCACACATATTCCCCCCACACCCCTGCACCCTAAGATTCTTACCTTTTGCTTGGCAGCACACTTATTCACATTGATTACATTCTTTGACATATGCTGTATAACTGAGAGAATGTCACTCTCAGTGAGAGATGTGTAGCATTGCAGAAGTGGTAACTGAAAGGAAGGAAATCCATTAGATAAGCCTATTAGAATAATCCAAGTACACTAGGTTCTTTGCAGTTTTTCTTGGACAATTATGGTCTCTTGTCTCACAGTGGGAGGTTTGAAAAGCTACTGCCCTACTACTGTCCCCTTTTAGTAGAACACAGGGAGACAAGAACATGGTGAAATACCATGAGGAATGGAGGAAGTGTGCACCTTATAAGAGTGGCCTTTAGGCACACTGAGTCACAAAGTAGGAGGTGGCCTGACAAGCACAACTTACAAACATGCATCTATCAAAGAGTTTCAGAGACAAACAGAAGGCAGCTGCTGGAATCATGGATGGTGGGATGTGAATCATGTGATAATTCACAATGCACAGCTCCGTCAGGTACTTGGTCAGAATGTTCAGTTTATCTGCAGTAAGTCAGAGTTGAATATTGGCTATCTCCAGAGCATGAGCATCCTGTTATCTTGGTTTAGTTACATAGGAAGAAATACTTCCTTAGAGAGTACAGGGTTGAAATTCAAGTGCCTTTATCACAGAACACTTCTGTGTTATATTTGGCTGCTCATAGTCTAGGACTGTCACTTTCAATGGCAGTCTAGCAGTCACCTGCAATGTCAGTGTCATGTTTCACTGTGGGAAACTGCAAGGAGTTTTAAAATTAAACGGTCAGGAACAAAGTTAAGTCAAATGAGACAAACATTGCATCTAAGAACCGTTTATTCCTAATGAAAAACAAAATGTAAGGGAGTTACTCTACTAAAGAGGGTTAGACAAGACAGAGCAAGAGTAAGAAAAATGGGAAAGGAATGGGGGGTGGGGAAGACAGTGAGTGAGTGAGTGAGTGAGATGCCACTGGAGGTCAGGGAGTGCATCCACGAGGTGGGGGGTGTGCATGCTGCTTCACGGGCGACTGGGCTCGAGGTGAGGGGGCACTTGGGCCCAGAACCCTGGAGAGGGTCGCAGTGAGGATCACAGCAGTGGGCTGGCTCAGAGGCCAGCAGGGTTGGATGCAGGTGGCTTAGGCAGGGACACAGGGAGGCAGAGCAGACACAAAGGTGATAAGAGCCAGTGAGGAAATGAGAGTCAAAAGGCAGGCTGGGGCCAGGGCAAAGAATCAGGGTCAACAAGGCTGACATCAAGGACAACAACAAGGCTGGTGGGAGTCTGTTATAGAGCACCCAACCAGGATGAAGAAGTAGATAACATTCTACAAGCAGCTGGAAGATATTACAGCAGCCTGATGAGGTCTTCATGGGTGAGAGAAGTGGATGAGAATCTTGTTTGATGATCAGAAGGCTGGATTTATTAATATATGATATATAATACATTATAACTATACTAAAGAGAATAAGGAGAGAAGTTGCAGAGGCTACTAACCTAAGAATAGCATAGAAAAGAATGAATAACAAAGTTCTGTGTCCAGCAGAAAGCAAGGACAAACCTCTCCTGTGAGTGGTTAGCAAATCCAAACACTCACAGAAGCCCAATCACCGCTGCACCTGTTACATTCCACAGCTGATAACAATTGTTTACATTCTTCTTCTGGGGCCTCAGCTTCCCAGAAGATGAACAAATCCCAAAGAAAGGATTTCTATGAAAAAATATCTGCGACAGGAGGATGTTTCAGGATCAGCAGCCCTTGTTCTTGTAGGTGACTTTAACCTGTTAGACATCTGCTGGGAACTCAAAATAGTGGAGAAGAGGCAGTCTAGGAGGTTCTTAGAGTGCATGGAGGACAACTTCCTGTCACAGCTGGTGAGTGAGCCCACCAGGGGAGGGACAATGCTAGATCTGCTGTTTGCAAACAGAGAAGGGCAGGTGGGCGATGTGGTGGTAGGAGTCTATCTGGAGCACAGCGATCATGAAATTATAGAGTTTTCAATATTTGGTGAAACAAGGAGGGACATCAGTAAAACTTCCATGCTGGACTTCTAGAGGGCAGACTTTGGCCTATTCAAGAGACTTATTCAAATAGTACCTTGGAAGCAACCCTTATAAACAAAGGAGTCCAGGAAGGATGGGTGTGCTTCAAAACAGAAATCTTGAAGGCACAGGAGTGTTGCAGTGTGTTGTAAACTTCCTTCCCCAGGTGTGCCTATACCTCTCTCCCTTCCCCCTTGCCCCCATGCTGAGTGAGTCCTGTCAATCAGGCTTAACATTCCAGCAAGGCGTCGTGTGGTTGGTCAAGTTCAAAGGATGCCCCTCAGGCCCAGGGGTCATTGGCCTGTCTGGGTGTCATCTTCCCCTGAGACCCCGCCCCTCTCACCTGGTTGGGTGGCTCACCTGTACCCCCCCCTCCCCTGTCCCTGAGCTTAAAAAGGTGATCAGGCCATGTGGTCAATATTCTGTTGGAGCAGTTGCCTACATTCAGACCTCTGTAACCATGGAATAAACCTCTGGATTTAAATGCTCCAGCAGAATCCATCTCCTTTTCCTCCTCGCCATTCGCTTGAAGCCTTCCTCCTGAGGTAAACGAGTTCCTAACAAGCCTGGACTTGTTCAGTGCCCTGCTGCAATCTCCAGCAGCCAAGGTATCTCTGGG